CTCGGACCTATTTCAACACCACCCTGTTCGGCATCCAACAGTGCACCCACCATTTACTACATGCCTACATCCACTAACATCCGGCCAAACCATCCAGAAGCGAGCACGGGCCCTGCCGGACCCTGGTGGGATGATGCTGGCGCCCCACCGTGAGAGGGCATTAGACTTGACTTTGCGGTTTTTGACTCAATGTATATAGCTCGCCGATATTGCCAGCTACAGCAAAACATCCCCAGTACTCAGATTTCCATGTTTTCCATGTTTGATGTTTCTGTTTTCTTTTACTTCTTCGTTGTATTGACTATACCTTTGCAGAATTTTCAGGACAGGCCTTCAACGGATAACTTCACTAGACGACTCCAGCCATTGTGGCTCAAAAGTTTCGACTACGTATCGCCTTCAACTTTCTTTTGCAGGGAACAATCATGGACGCGCATCAACAATGGTGGCAACACTATTATTACGGCGCTGCAACACCCAGCGCCGGCTATGGACCCTTGACAAATGCAGTACGTCATCACTACCAACATCCCTATCACCACCCTCACGCAACAAACACGACCGACCATTCTGCAGCTCCCCCAGCACCGACCGCGGCGTTCCCTCCAGAACCCCTTCCCCCACCCCCGGCATCCAGCCATCCAGCCCCTCCACCACTCGGCGTTGTACCCCCCAACATCCCTACCCTGCCTGACACATGAACCCCCAGCGACACACACCTCGACACCAATACAGTCCATGGTCAAACATTGTTCCGCGCGATCCAGCCGACGCAATGGTCCAGAAAATACAATCTGGCAGGACAACCTGTCCTGGACATCTTGCCCTGGCAGCTCAGTCGCTTTGGTCTTCAAGACCACAGCCTTCGTACCCTATCCCAAGGACGATACACTGGCATCGTGACCACCAGGTCTATCGCAGAAGCAGTTTTCACCTCACAATTGTTGCCAGAGATGCGAGCTCACAACCTGGACATCGACAATATTGCTGAATATTTACACCAACAAGCCAGTCAACCCATTCCAAACAAAACAACAGATGCCAAGCAATTCATGCAACCACTCATTTCCCGTTTGATTGACTTCCTACGAGGCCTCACACCACCCGCAGGTGAAGGTACAGCACTCCGCAAACTTCAGCAACAGACAGAACGCCTACACCAGCAAGAGAGTGAACTCCAACGCGCTCGCGACAAATTGAAGACTCATGGCATCGCCATTACACCAACAAAACCCGGAACACACCCAACCCGTCATCAGCTTCCCAACCCCATCTCCCACTTACAGCCCCAGCAGCACTCACAGCCAACACCATTCTCAACCCCACATCTCAAACTTTACACGACAACTCACCCGCCAACTACGCGGCAGCAGGCATTCAGAAATGGCTCAAGACACTACCACCAGCCACACAGACACAAGTCACCAATATCCAGCAAATTCTTCGAGACGAACGCATCACAAAGGAACAGCTCCAGGAGGCAGCCACGCGCTATGGCATCCCGCTCAGCCGAGTACTTAAGCTACCACCCCGCTCACTACAGCAGCTGGTGGCCGCGGGTTCGGCATTGGCGGCCTGACTCGCTCAACAAGCACCGCATCAACCAACACATCTCACTTTGCAATTTTTGACTACACTCCACACAGGACTTTCACACATTGTCCACTTCACACCATACATTGACAAGACCCACGCGATCTTCTCGATCAGTCTTATTCACCTCACGTGCCTCTTTGCCTTTCCATCTCAAACATACCACTCTCAGCAATGGCGCACACGCTTCAGTCAGCTACAGGTCGCCCCACACACTTACCACTACCACATGTTCCAACAACCCAACGCCGTGTACGCAAAACTCTTTTTCAATCAGCACCACACCACACACCAATACCATCAGCACGGACATACTTACATCGGCTCTACCACCATCACCATTCCGAAGCGAGAATACAACCGTCACGCCAAACTCAAACAATTACACAACAACCACCCAATTTCAGCCGAACTATCCTTACGCTACTGGCACTCCAAGAACAACCTCCATCACTACAGCACTATCTTTCTCTCCCACCACGACACCTACGACCAAGCCTGGACTTATGAACACTTGCGGATCCAAGAGTGGCAACCCACCCTCAATTGGCCATACATTCAACGACACCTCAAACTCAAAGCCTCTGGCTGGCAATTTGCAAAACACCGCACCACCTTCACGCGCATGTCCACTCACAAGCGCCTTTTTCAAAGGCTTCGACGACGTCAACACACCATCAAACAGCCGCACCTCCACACAAGTCAACGCGTACATGCCCTGACAGTCCTACGTGAGCTCAGCAAACATACACGTTCATCTTTTGAAACCTCCACAGCCATCCGCAGCGGCAAATACCCAGATCTCGAAATATACGCCTTCCGACGCATGGCCGCCAGCCTGGAAGAACCAGATAGATCACGAGTTCTTCACCCCTTACACACAGCACTCAACTTCCGCAATCTCACCCCACCGAAAGCCAACAAGCCATTCACCATCCCTTTTCTCTCCCACAGCACTTTCTCATCCTCCACGGAAAAATGGCTTCGCACATTGATCCAACACCACATGCACCACGTCATTCCATTCCATCCACCCACCACAAAACTGCGCGAAGCAGCACACAAGACATTACGATCACGGCTATACAATCACAAACGTTGGGAAGAACTGTTCTCAGCACAGCCCTCAGCGGCCGACATGCCATGCAGCTGCCACCACATGCACTCTTTACTTCGACCCAACCACACACCACCGCTCCACGATGGCCATTACGTGCTCACACTCGACGACCTTCAGCTACCGAGCCATCTTCAAATATTTCTCCAAGCCAACATGAACAGCACCTTCTTTCCCACGAAGACACAATACTTTCAACTCTTCCAACAGCACTCCACTCAATGGTTACGACACCATGGTCTACCCACCGCCCTTTACCAACACAGCTTACCTTTTCTACACCAACAATGGAAACAACACATCGACAACATTCTACATACACCGCGATTCACATCACGCAATGTCACCCCATTACAGCAGTTCCTTACAGACAAACTGGTGTTGCATCACGCAGATCACGAACTGCAGAATCTACGGCTTTTCTGCCCACAACACTATTTCCACGGATGTCTCACTACCTGGAACACACCACAACTCTTTCTACCACTACCAGACCTTACTGACCAACAACTGCACCAGCTGCTCACTCAATCTTACCCCGCCAACATACGACGAGCCTATCCATGGGGATTCCGCAAACAATTCTACGCACCACATGGGGTAGTCTTCCTCAAGCAAAAGAAGTCATGGCGAAAAGGAAGAACAGTCATCAGCTACTTTAGATCTATAGCAGGTACCCTTTTACGAGCCACCTCCAAAGCATTGGACATCATGCTTCTTCATCTTCTACCTCAACATCCTGGACGACTCTCCATCCCCAACCTATGGCAGCACCTCCATAACCATTTCCAGACAACACCTGAGGACATCCACCTCACACCGATCAATGACGACCTCGTAGGTTTCTTCAACAGTGTACCCCAACAACGTCTCGTCGACGCAGTCATCAGCCTATGCAATCGCTGGAAAGCTCAACACACAACTACCACCATCACCATCGACGTACAATCCACCGGCAATCCCATACAACACTCCCACATCGGTCGACATTACATCCACCACCCACAACAACGCACACTCGACACTCAACACATTCCCATGATCGTACAACAAGCCCTCCAATCATGCATTTTTCAAGCCTGCAACACCTACTACAAGCAAATCCAAGGAGCAGGCATCGGCAGTCAACTTTCACCAGCACTCTGCAACGTAGCAATCACACTCATCGAACATACCTGGCAAACCACATACCATACCTTTTTACAACAACCCAGCCTTCACCTACTCAACACCCGCTACATTACGTTGACAACCGCTATATCTTGCTAAACGAACAATACAGATCAGCACTCCCTATCACCACACTTGCCCATCCCGATTTTTACGAACACCCGGTCGAAATAGAGCCAGTGGACGACGACCATTTACTCGGTTTCCTGATTGACCCACTCAACAGAACAGTCACCTCTCAACTCCCCACACATCCCTGGCAGATTCGTGATCCGCAGCCAGCGGGGAGTCACAGACTACGCCTTTCAGGCTTACAATCGCGACACCACACACTACGCAAATACACATTTCCACAGCAGCTCGCACCTACCACAGCACAGCAGTTGATGCAGCTCTATATGACAAAAGGTCATTCAAAGGAACATTGTGCCGCGGCGCTGCGGCCACGAGGAAAAAGGACGATCCGCCAGCAGAGTCACTGTACATTCCTCTACATTGCCTGATACACAGGTTCCTCTCCGTCCTTGAATTCCTTTTTCGACGTCCTGATCTTCCATTATTTACCCCACATGTATTTTCTGATCCGGTCTAGTTGCGCCGATTCGGCTCTTTGTGTGTGTCCACTCCTGTTTCCAAGGACACTACTCTAACTCTTTCTAGCTTTTCTTAGGACTTTCATGACCATTGTACAGCAGCAGGGGGACAACCCCATGGATGCAGCTGGTTGTCCAACGAAGAGGGCTGCATTCCATGGCTGATATGATCCTGGGACGCTAGGATCACGCACCTGCAATTTCAATGCTAATTTTAATTTTCAATCGCTGATGTTTCTAAGTCAGTGCAACGCCGTCTCATACGTTGTTTTCTGCAGTATCTAGATCTAAAGGGCTAACGCACTCCGCGAAGCAGCCTGAAATCGAGCTCTACGGAGCAACCTTCTCAAGTGTGTGTGCGTGCGCGCGTGCAAGTTGCATTGTTGGCAAAGAAAAGGTTTAACATGAATGACGCTTTGCCATGAACAGCCATGAAAAAAGCCAACGCAAACAATCGAACGAACGAGATCGGGGAAGGTAGCCATTCAACTAAGGCCGACACCGAGTTCAAAAAAGTAACACTGCGCCTTGGGCGCCCCGGCCCAGCGCTGTTCCTCAAAGAGGGGAAATGTAAGAACAAACCACTCGAACCCTCATATTGAAGAGACGGGACTTGTTTGACGGGGTGACAAATGGGTTTGCCATGCCCTTTTGCGTTTTTCACTTCGTGTTTTTGCCAGGGGTTGATCCGCCGCTCGGGCCCGATTTGCGGTGGTCAGCACATGGTTGAGGACCGCGCTGACACGTTTCTCAACATGATTCCCACTCTCCCCCGCCACACTGAGCCAGCCTGGCTCCTTTGGCCTCACCTCCCAGAGCCACCCCAGCCGCTTCTAGCGAAGGTTGCATGGATCGAGAAGACCTTACAGTGGTTGTAGAGTCTGTCGACCCGGTCTTGCGCGTTCCACCCAAGCCCAGAGCCTATCCAGATTCTGCTCCAACTGCTCCACGCATTCAACCCCGATGCGCAAGCTAGGGCCAGAAGTGATGTTGTCAGAGAGCCAGCAGGATCCCGCAATACTTGATGTGACCAGGAAATGGTGGCCAGTTGGAGTGTTGAAGAAGGTAGGATCTCTGGACCAAATGAGGAGGGGTTCTCTGGACTACAAGTGAGTTACCCACACAGTCAGTCACCAGATCCACGCACCACTGCCTCAATCTTCACACCCCACTCACCTTCTTCAGAGCCACCTTCTTCACACGCCACTCAGGCTTCAGAGCCACCTTCTTCACACCCACTCGGTCTTCAGAGCCACCTTCTTCACACCCCACTCAGTCTTCAGAGCCACCTTTCACACTCAACTCAGTCTCTAGCGCCCCTTCGGCGCGCGGCGGCCGGCCGCGCACAGCGCTAGCGCCCAGCCAATTCCCGCTCCCTGCTACGCTTTACCATCTTGCGTCACTGAGCCGCTACGCCTTCCCCGAACCAGCGGCCAGTGAATTCAAGAAAAACGCTTTTGGCATGTATGCCTTGCAAACGCAGATTATGAAACACTTCTTGGGTGAAGACCTTCAGCTTTTCTCTGTGACCAGCAAGAGCCACATGGTTTTGGAGTCTGTGCTGTTGTGTGACAAGGTGAGTCCTAGACTTCTGTGAACATTTGCAGGGGAAGACCAAATGGCAAGGGCCCAATTATTGGACAAAGCGTGCGCGCATTCTCTGGTTCTGCTTTTTGGCAGGCAGATGCCATGTGGAAGGAGCTTGCCAAACCAAAAAGCAACTCAAGAAGAGAATGAAGTAGACATGACCAGAACGTCGTGGCCCCCACTTCTTAGAAGTGCGAGAGCGACAATACCGAACACGTCGTTTGCCCACTTTGCGGGCACGATCTCGCATTCGAACTCTGCGCGACATACGAAAGTAATTGCAAAAGGACATGAGTTCCCACCTGACAGATAAAATTGACTTCTCCAAATCAGTGAAACCACACATGCAAGGCCAGTCAACCATCAATACATGAGCATAGAAGAGAAGGCAAAAAGCCAGACAATCAAGAGGCAAGCTCAAACAAGCAAAGATCATGCAGATAGCATACATCAAGGCCATAAGGACATTCAGTTTCGACATGCACTGACTCGCCTCACTGAACACAATCGTTCGTGGAACGTGTGCCGGTGTCCAGATCGAAGGCGCCAGGGAGCCAGCGGGATCCCAGAAGTAGTAGTGGCTTGTCAAAGCACCCCAGCATGCCACTGAGATCCTCGTTGGTGCCATAGCCTCAACCAATGCCTGTGGGAGAATGGTCACTCGAAGATGAGTGCGTGGGTGAAACAAATGGCTGCGCGAAAATTGATGCGATGTGTGGGCCAAGGGTCACCATCAGGAAGTTCACCGTAGAAACGATTGCGAAGAACGAGTTGGGAGAGACAATGATTAGAAAATGTGCAAATAAGAGGGTTGCGATCAGCTAAACCAGTGTTTGATGCAACTTCAAAAGACGCAAAGGTGGCAAGCATAAGACTATTGCAGAAGACGTGATCGATGATTGAACCTGTTTTTCCTTTGGCGCAAGTGATCTTGCGCTGTTGTCCTGTAAGGCTAGCTAAATTTGGGAACCCACTTTGTGGCAATGCTCCCGCGTTTTGGCGCGCCATGCCAAAATCCCTGGGCCCCCATCGCCCCGAGCACTGCACATGTTTTTCAACCCTGTTGCCGTGAGGGTGAACGTATGCTGCTTCCGACGTCGCTGAGCTACCGGCTGACCCCATTCGTACTCCGGATCCACCCTTACGAGGTTCCCAGCCGAAATCTCCTCCTTGAGTGCCCACAGAGCTCCACACCGCCCGCGCCGGTCGGCCATGGAGCACAGCCTCACGGGAAGGCTGATCCGTCTCCAAAGGCCAGGCAACCCCCAAAGCCCTCAGCCACCTGCTTTAGCCATGTATCCCCGCCGCCCGCCTGCGCCAACCGGCCACCATTGGCTTCGGCCCCCAAACCTAATGACGCGTCCTCCAGCGAGGTCATGCATGGTGAACACCTTCCCTTGGTGGTACAGCCTGTCAACCCGGTCCTCGGTGCGTTCCACCCTCCCCATATAGCCCTCCAGCTGGTCGAGTCGGGCTTCCAACGCATTAAGCCATAGCGACAGGGTGCGAGACACGAGACGAGAGGAGCGCAAGACGTGATCCGAGACGGCTAGCAGGTAAAAGAGAGCTGTATGGAGTCTCAAGGGCTGTGCAGGCAGAAACTTGACACTTGGCCGAAGTGGGCAGCAAGCGTTGTCTTTTTGTTTTTTTGCGCAGCGAACGTCAGTCAATTCAGTGATAGGCCGCTTCAACTGGAACCGGAAGTGGTCGCACCGTACCTGAGGCCGGCAGGGGAGCAGATCCCCGCTGGTAAAAACCGGGCACAGCCGCACGGGTGTACCGTGGGCCGGTCCTCTGGACGAATCCAGGCAGAGGTCGCGGCATATAGCCGGCCCCGAAAAAGCAGCGCTGCAATCTGTGGGTACAAAGGAGAATCCCCAAACAGAAGGCTTCGACACCGAAAAGCGATCGACGTGGCAAAGGTTCAAACCCTACATTAGGTTCATGATTTCTACAGGCATGTGCGATACACGACCCCACACTTGCGACATGTGCGATTGGCTTCCTCGGAGCCCCGACGCGCGCGCAGATGTCTACTGAGATTACGACCACAGCGCATACCGCATTGATAACATTGTCCGCGTAACCACCTCCCCGCCGATTTGGCCGCACTGTCCTGATGCCCGCGCTGATTTTTAATACATGTCCATCGATGAGCCTTTTTTGACGACGTTTTATCCGCCGACGAGCACGCAGCTGCCTAATGCGCCGAAGTTTCGACCGTGTGACACCCAGCTGAACAGCCCCCTGCGACTCTTGCCGTAGATGCCTCTCCCCACTGGACACCACAGTGTCATCGAAACGACGCTTACGACTGCCCGGACTCCCCGAACCCGCTCCATAGACCACACCCCCCGAAAACCAGACAGATCCGTGCACACCGTAGGGCCAAACAAAACGAAGCACAGCACCCCAAAGCCAGCCCCCACCAGCCAAACAACAGCGCCCTGGCCAGGAGCGACTGTTGTACCCCACCAACCCAAGACCAAGACCGCTCCCGAAGGGCGCCGCAACGTCTTGTTATGGTTGATGGGGGGTGCACGCGTCCCGCACCCACCTGTGAGCCAGAACACCACGAGGGAGGAAGCCAAATCCAACAGGAGGCTCCAGACCCGAAGGACTGGAAGTGGCTCAGCCTCTGGCTACTCTCACTAAAGCCGGAGCCGATCAAGGAGAAACTTCCAGAGCTACGGACCATACATAAGCCAGCCAATTATGCCATCCGAACCACGAACACACCGCGGCGCCATCCAATGCGAGGAAAACGGAGCCCGGCAGCCCTAACCACCCGGCCGTCGGCCACCTCCGCCGCCCAGCCTTGATTTCCACCGTGTGTCCACCACGCGTTCCAGTCGGGATCCATAACAAAACCTACCGTGCCAAAGACTACCAATGTCCACTCGTTACCATCGACCGTCAAGCGGCGAACACCCGAAGATCGATACTTCAGGTCCGTCAGAATAGCCAAGCCGATTTTCCTATGGGTCAAGAGACTGAGGAAGCACCGAGATCGTACGAGAGAAACTAGCCCCGAGACCGCGAGTGTTCCAGGTGAGCAGCCCCAACCTAGCTTTCCCTGCAGCCACCCGGGCACGTGGAGCCGTACGGCGCTGGGCTTTGATACAGTTCCAGCGATGTAACCGGCGAGCCCTTCGTCTATGTGACCGTTTGCGAAAAGTGCGAACCAATCGCCGCAAACGATTACGCGGCGCCCCGCTACAAACCGCCTGGGTAACCAAGCGTCGTAAGTGCCGAGCCCCGGAGGAGAACCGTCCCTGGAAACCCCATTGCTTTCGTTTCTGACCACTACTAGTGAGGACCGTAGAAGCCAGGAACGACTGCTGACCCCAACGACCCCAAAGCGGGGAAGAGGTGCAACCCCTCAGGATTGCCCCTCAACGTCCCCCTTTAGTTCGGTCGAAGGGGGGTGCTCGCGTCCCGCCCCCGACCTGTGAGCCGGAAACATAGCAGATATACCCAAACTACCGGAGGCTCCAGACCACGTAGGACTGGAGTGGGTTTGCCTTCGGCTTCCCGGACCTCGCCACCGCACCCCAACTTGACCCGCACCATGGAGATCAACTGATCATCCCGAGACCAAGCCACATCCACACCGCGCTAAGGCGTGCAGCCGAAGTTGCCCCGTAGCCCCCTGCGTGGAGGAATGCGAGCAGGTAGGCCACGAGCCACCAAACTTGCCCATACACCTGCACCTGTCTACCCTCTCCATAGTGAGCCACACCAGGTACTTGCTACCGAAGTTGCCCCGTAGCCGCCCGCGAGGAGGACCGCGAGCACATAGGCAACGTTTTCTGTCATATGCCAAATGGAACATGGAACCCAGGAATGATTTGCTAAGGTTGTGTAGATTGGACTTCTAGAAAGTTGTTTTAAACTTATTCAATTGAATGAAGGAACCAAATATGAAGATGTTTTACAAATTTTGACAATTGGAATTACACACACTAAATCTAGCAAACAATACGGAAACACAATCGCAAAAAGGATCCTCAGTGTGGGTTTGCCTGCAAGGTCTAAAGTTATAATGTAGTACAACTGACAGTGGCGGTACCTGAGGATCCCCAGTTTCAGTATGGATCCAAAAGTGTTTATAGGTGCAAAGATTTTCCAACTTGTTGATTGCGCGATAAACATACCCTGTTGGATGACTGCATGCTCAACACCATCATGCGACGAGTTGCTCCGGAGTAATGTAGCCCATTGTTGCGAGCATGGAGATTCGGCCATGTTTCTTCTTCTTTCATCCACCTCCTGGGTGGGACCCAACACCCGAGCACGGGGCACTGGGCCACTATGTTTCAACTCGGTCTGGCGACGTCGCTTGAAGTTCTCCACGCTGCCATCTGCAGTAAAGCCAGCGGGGTCCCAAAATCCGACCGGCGCTTGCACGCCCAACTCGTTCTCGAAGGTGTGTCGCTTTGTTGCAGGAACAGCGGGCTTAGGCAGAGCCCCCCTACTGCCTGCTGCGAAGAGGGAGCCTCAGTCGGGCTCACGTGGACGCCAGAGCGGTTCTGGCCGCATTGGTAACTTGAAGGCGTTCAGTGTCACCTGTTCTCACAACATAACACATTGGTTCAACAGGGTTTGCACCACCCCAGCAGCCAACAACTCCTGCATGCTATCGCTATCATCGATGTTTGTGTAATGCAGTCTCATTGATATCACAACTTTGTCATATCAAGGCTCAAATTCTCATCTCTATTCTCTACTCACCTGCATTGTCAGCGTTTTAACCACGGCCGTACGGCTTCACAGCCCCTTCTCAAAAGAAAACAACTTCGCAGCAATGTTACCATTGTTGCAAAGGTGTAATTAGTTTCGCAGCATTGTTATCATCTTACGAAGTTCTCATCATCTGCTATTGTCGTCATGTCATTACAGTTGGTGCATTGGGTGGGCGTCTCAACATGACATGGCATGATCCACAATTGTTGGCTTGCATACAATGGCATCATCGGGTATAGAAGCAGGCCGCAAAACTTGCCAAAGGTGCGAGAATGAATAAAAGTATACCTCATTCCAGCTTTAACATGAATAAACTGTTTGTCGGTGGATGGGGGGGTCCTATGACAAGTCGCCGGTGCAATAAACAACTCAAAACCCGGAGGACATGATCTGAGCAGGGGTCATCTCCTAGAAATGTAGAAATGTCTCATTGCAGCAGTTTTCGGATTTCTAGCTTGGTATTTAAACCATGTTGCCACCCAAGTCGCCTGGCGGCTGCCAAGTTAACAATGAGGATGATGGGATAAGACTTGGAAACCTGGCCAAGGGCTAGCCGCTAGCGTTCAGTGGGGCAGATCCGCTGTCGTTGTACTTTTGCTGTACGAATGCTCCTAGATGTTGACCGATTTCTCGATGCGCTCTTTCAATCTGGACACCAACTCTTGACCTTTAGTTTCACTTCTATATTCTGACCAGAGAAAGGTTTTGTGGAAAGGAATGAAATATGCCCCACGCATCAGTCCGTCAGCCACACCCAGAGCACCAGCTGTGGTTTGATGCTCCCGGACAGCGCCTGCGAGGCGGCACGTTGCTCGTTGAGCAAACGAATGGGTGGGAAAAGGTCTGGCATTCGAGTCTAAACAACCCAAGACATCTCCCAAACGTAGTCTTAAAAATCCAAAACATTCGATCATGTATTTTGCTGGGTTGCCATGCCGAGAGATCCGAGAAGTCCTTACTCATGAGAAGTCCGATGCCGATCAAATTGTTTGAATGTGTTTTTTGACCCTCATAGGTGTTAAGGGACCCTCCTCCATAATGTCTGACCCTCCCATCTTCGCTTGGATCACCACCAGTTGTTCTTTGGCTTCGATCCTCTATACTTCATTTCTGACCTGCCTTCTTGCCAGTAGCCGTCAAAGCAGCAACTGCAACACCTGCCACTGCTAAAGAGGCAGTTCTGCTTGGAGCAGCCTGGGAACATCAAACGTTGTCGCTTTCACATGCTTTCACCGGAAGAAACAGACAATTCGTCAGGTCTCACTTTTGTCCCAGAGGGATGTTGGCTGGCAGCATAGCTCGTGGACGCAACAACATTACACATTTTTTCGGAACCTGATCCTTCCCTGAATTTGATATCTGATAGCAGCCAATCGAAACAAAAATCCAACCGGTCCACGTACAAAGTTCTAACTATACTTATTCAAAGCTTAAAGCATAACTTATTTTTCTCCAAATACAAACTTGGAACTCTCTTCCAGATTTGTGTTTGCCTACAGAGGCGGCCTCCCTGGTAGATGTAGATGCCACAGTTGCTGCAGAAGTGGCCTCAGCCAAAATGCATGTACACACGCACCCATAAACAGCTCAAGCATCTTCTGCTCGGCGACTAATCGTAGGCATTGAACCAACATAATTATATTATCAATATGTTTATATACATAATTTCAGTTAATTTCATGTGTGTGTGTATGTGTTCAAATGCCAGAAAACAATGTTTGCAGACCTTCCTGCGCTTTGTAGGTGCCCAAAGATACCAAAAGGATTGAATGCGCTAGGTGCATGGCTCGCAAATGGCTGGTCGGCGCTGAAGACGTCGCAGGCGCCCCAACGAAGGTGCAGCCGCTCAAAAGTGCAGCTGCACCTGGCTCACTGACAACGAGACTTCGAGATACATACCAAAACGGGTTCTTAAAGAAGGCTCAGCAAGCTCAAGAAATCCCAGTTGAAACGCTTCTATAATATACATAAGCTCAAGAAGCTTCATAAAGCTCAAGGAGCTTAACAAGCCGCTGGAAGACATGGGAGTGTATTTTTTGCCGTTCCCGGGCCGGGATGTTTGACTATGGGGTATGAATCGGGGTATGTTTCGCGCGGCGTCAAGACTAAAGTAGTAGCATGTTCAGAAGGTATGCTTCGTGGTATGCTTCGGCGTATGCTTCGGGTATGCTCCACATAAGTCGAACATCCCAACTCTCCATAAATTGGGCACGTTAAAAATACAAACCCACATGCGACTCATCATTCATGATGTCCAGCACCAAGGAAGGCCTTTAGGAAGCTGCGTTACCAATCGGTTCAAGTGACCAAAGCCAACTTGCGCACCTCAACCACCCTTCCACATTGGGGTAAAGGTTTGTCAAAAAAATGAAAAGTGCGGCATGAGTTCACTTTTAAAAAGGCTTGCTGTCTTGGAGTCTTGGAAAACCTCAACCAGATTCTTCTTGCAATTCAGGTACCCTTTCCCCGATGGCATTTCGCACCTTGAGATGAACATTACATCTCGAACGCACATTCTGCGCATGGCCTGCGGTGGCAGCCAAAGCGGTCCCGGAAGTAGAAGACATCCTCGGTGCAAGCCACTCGAGAGACTGCGGGAAAACCAAGGGATTTTCAGCATCAAGGACTGTCGTTAACCCCCAACAAAGACGAGGCACGTGCGGAAAATATGGAAAATGAAAATCGACAAAAATAGATTGACTGCCCAAAATAATGAGACGGTTGCTCGCGCAGTCAAAACCTTAAAAGCTTGGGCCAAAACACCACATGAGTCACGCGAGCGACTGAAGAGGTTCTTTCTTGCATCCTTCCGGAGTCCGAGTGCATTTCTTCCAGATTTCGGAAGTGTCGGCACCGCCCGAAAGAACCAAACGAGAATCGAGGAAGGTCACCGTGAGAGAACAACGTGCATTAACAGCCACTAAAACCTGTATACCTAGGCCTCTTCTCTCAAAGATACATAAAGATACCTGTAGGTCCCTTCGCCTCTGTTCTCGCAGTGCTCTTTTCTGTCGCTCGTTCGGGGACGGTCTTCGGACCTGTGGAACGGCGACCTGCCCATACGTGGCAAGACCGGTAAAGACTGGTCGGACCCCGTCGCCCGAAACTGCTCTCAATCCCTCCAGAACAAGATCAGTGCCGACGTGAAGTTCGATTTGTTAGATGTTCTGGAAATGCCTGGAAGAACTCGGAAAAAGGAAAGAAAGAGTCAAGAGTCGAAAAGCACCGGTGCGCCTCCAGTGCACAAACAGGTGTCCTTTAGTAGCGTTCTTGCTACTAGTAGCGATGAACTTGTTGCTAGTAGCGATGCCAGGAGCTACTTGTGGCTTCTTGATGTGGCTAACAAGTTTCCTTGTCAAGAAAGCATTTGCAGACAAACCACCGAACGCTACGGCGATTGTGGGGAAGGTGAGCCGTTGAGCCGCTGACTTCAACAGCACCTAAGGTACCACTTTTCTACTTTCTTGGTGGACCCCTACTTTACCACGAGAACATTTCTGCAAAATCAACATGACGCCCTTCAAAGCGCCCGTGGTAGCATCAGTTCATGGAAGTTCCTACCACCGGAAGCCTGGGCGCACACCGCACCCATCGTGCTCTCCCCTGTGAGGCGTCCGGGTCAGACAGATCAGATCAATTAATACCTCACCACATCTGTCGGAACGCAAGGTTCACACCTGCAGCCGCCGATGTAGGGGCCATCCTCAGCCAAGTGCCAAGCTCAAGTCTCATCAGAACAAAAGATCACAAATCAATAATAATCACAGTATGTCGGGCTTTGGTTGAGATGGCCGACGGCAGTGGTAACCACATCCTTAAGATCGAACACACTTCGGAGGAGATACAACGAACTCGGCACCGGAAGAAAAAAACGTTCCCCCATGATCTTTTTTCCGTGAATGAGCGGCCCACTCTTTTGTTCCCACGAGGGCTCCTTACCATTCACTCCAAACTTGCATTCTAGGTAACTTCTCGGCTGAACAGAAGCAGGGAGTGAATCGCAAGGGCTGCAAACGTCGGCTCTCGATCCAGACCTGCAAACCATCTAGAGTGTTTTACAAGAGCACATCGGAGACATTGGGACAGCTAAAAATGTTACATGATGAAATGTGAATTCTTGGCACCTGTGATGCACTATGAAATTTGACAGAGCTCGTGCACCTCATCTTGCGATTGCGATGGTGTTCCTAGTTTCCAGGCGCTCCTACTGGCAAACTCTACAGCAGGCCGTAGCTCAAGTACTCGTGGTCACCAAACCCCACCAAAACAAATGAAGATCTTTCGATCTAAAGACCCATCGGGGATAGAGATGTGCCCCTTTCTTTCTAAAAAACGAACCTCTGGGGCCGATTAGATGCAGGCCCCACTCTGCTCGCGGCGACGGGTCCAGTCCAAGGAGCATCTCAAAGGCAAAAAGGGCCAGGAAAAAATGTGGCCAATGCGCAAACCGCCGTTCCTGTAAGCCAAACAAATATTGCAGCAAGTGCGAAAAGTCCTCACAACGGACCCAAGAAATGTTGAGACTTCTTTGTGCCTTTGTACTGAATCGACTATTCCTTTGACAAGCTTTCAGTTTTTTACACTCCACCACAGGATTTTCAATGCTTGGACAGCACAACAAGCTTGTGCATCTTGAATTGCTAGGAAAATGATATTCACTGGGCGGTCTTGCCGCAGCTCCACCAAGAACCACATCTGAACTCATTAAATCTTACCTGCCTTACCTGGCCCTCTACATGAAGGCCTTTCAAGCAACAAGCCCTCCACATTTGACACTCTAGACTCTAGACAGCAAAGTCAAGTACAGTTAGTGACTGTTGCCAAATCCTCTGCGGCCTTCCGTCCACTCCACCTAAGTTCACCACCCTCCATGGCCCTCTTGGAGGGCTGAGAATGGGGTCGCGCCCGGTGGCGGTCACCTCACTCAGAAGCCCCACATGGCAGGACCAGTGGTTCCGAACATTCCTGGCGCTTTCTTCGACCAATGGGCGGGCAAAGGGACAACGAGGAAAGACGACCCGTGCCCGGACAAGAAATAACATTGGTGGCTCAGTTGCCAGTGTTGCGAATAGGTCAGGTGGTTCTAGATGTTCACCAGGTCTGCCCTCGGTAGTTCGCAACAAAAAGAGCAGCACCGAGGGATGCTTAAATTGGTACACATGGCTACAGAGTGAGTGGTTCGTTTTGATTGGCTGCATGACTAAACATGCTGAGTCGTTTATCATGTGACAATATGAGGTATGATGTGTGTGTGTGTGTGACCAGTGTGTGATTTTGCGTCATACCGATGTCAAAAGACTGGGGGTGTTGAGACAACTCAGCACAATGGTCCCAAAATCAAGATTATATAATTGTGAATTGTGATTGTTATTTGTTCTTGTTGTATTTATAATATAGATAATATAGATACAACAAGAAGAATCACAACACAGCCCGAACTTTTCGCAAAGAATTCATTGTTCGATCTACTTGGGTGTGACTACAACGCATCTGCGTACCTCCTCTGGCTCAATCCTATGCCCTTTCGATCCCCGTGAAACCCCCATCAACTCCCGGCAGTCCGTTCTGGAACAGCATGCCGGTGATGGCCACCTTCAAAGCAGCCCACGGGCCAACGTCGATGTCGAGTCTCCAGTGGTCAAAAAGGGTGTGCCGACATGGGTGTGCGTGCGTGTGCGGGTGCGGGTGCGGGTGGGTGGGTGGGCGGGTGGGTGTGTGCGTGTGCGTGTGCGTGTGTGCCTGTGTGTAGGGGGACAATCTCACGCAATTACTAATAATTACTATTTCACAGCCCCCACGCGATGCCCCGTTGGCGCATCTGAGATATGTGCCTCTGAAGAACCCTGAAAAGCATTCTTCCAAGAACATCGTCCCTGAGCTCCACTCCAAACCCCTGCGAAATCTAAGCCCCTGGCCATTGCCAATCGGCCGTTGGCCAGCTCAGAGTTGAGTTTCCTGCAAAGCCGGCAAACCCACTGCAAATCTTTGACAACCCTGGCTGGAACATGGAACGTGGTGGCTAATTACAGTACATTGACGGGCCATGATCCAAGGAATCCAAGGCTTCTCATAACATAAAAACATGGTGACTTCTTCTGCTGTTCCGGAAAGGTGACCCTGGATGTTTGCATCTTCGCAGTCTTTGCGTTTTGGAACAACAGTGCGGACCCAGGCGTGCAAAGCCTCCACATGATCGAACATACGGTAAAACACCATGGCTTCTTCAGAACCCGATCGACCCATCGGCGATCAATGTGTTGAAACAAGGGTGGGAACACTTGGGAATCAGGGTACTCTAGATCCAGCCCCTCAACATGTTTATATAGACCAATGGGACCTTCAAACACAAAAACCCTAAGCACAAAGGAGTGAAGCCAATGCCAATGCATCTTGAATTCCGAACCAAACACTACACACTCCAGAAACACACACACACTACAAAAGGGATGTTCAAACTTTCATGAAAAGGCTGTGGTGGCCCCTCACTTTTCTGCTGACCACGCTTGCAAGATATATGCCCCCGAACGTCAGCGACCCACCACCAAAGGGGACGAACTGATGTGTTTTGTGTTAAAATAAAAAGTCAAGGCTAAGGTGACAGCGATCGTGCTTGTGACAAAGTCTGAGTTTCTGTTCTCGACAAATACGAATAGTGCCAACAAAAGCAAAAGAGCGAACCCCCACTTTCGCGATGCACCTCTTTCGGCCCTCAGCATCGCTCATGGGCCCGCTGGCGTTGGGCACGCCCAAGATGCCAGCGTTCCTGAACTTTGGAGCGGTCCACACAATCCATGGTTACCTACCGATGCCGAAAAGTAACACAACGTGGCTGCATGTGTTTGTTGCTTTTGATGAGGCCTTGTTGTGGCTTTTTGATGGCATTGTTGTGGCCGCCACAAGAGTTTTGAGGCTTCCAGCGCGGGATTCCAAACAATTGTTGAGTGCATCAACCGAATTCGGCATTGGCAGGGGGCAAGTCGAGGGCCTAACCTCGTAGGCCACGAAAAGCCGACTACCTCCCTTGCGCCTGCCACAAAAAGTGACCACCAAGTCCGAAAATGCGCACGGCCAACAAAGAGCCAGCACAACCCCCCACCACCACTGCCGCCGCCGCCGCCACCACCGCCACGACGACGCAGCACTCGCTGTATGAAAAGGGCCAACACCATTTGAACACCACACAGCAGCCTTAAACAAAAAGTCGAAAGATCCAGGTCACCCTAAATAAAGACCCCAGATGGTAAAAAAATGTAAAAAATAAATTGTGGGCAGCAGCAGCACCCTGCAGCACCCTGCAGCGGCACCAGCACCTAGGCTCCACTGTCATAGACATCTGGCAGCAACACCCTCCAGCACCCAAACCCCAAAGCGCACGTAGCCATGGACATGTGCCGCGCTTTTCCAACCCCCTTCAGCTTTTTGAGACCGCCAAGGCAATACCCAAATTGAAACTGCAGAGTGCCATCAAAACCACAAGCTGACTGAGGAACAAAACCTTCGATCAGGAAGTGGTGGTGACCATGATCATTTCCCACTTCAACCTGATGCTAAATCCAAACAAAACTGAAGGAACTGAACTACGTGAGTTCTCCTGCGAAGTGGGATTGACTCTATTTCGTTTGCTTGTGACCTCCCAAAGTGCATTGAGGCTCTCGACTTTACATAAATGCAACTATCTATCCCCACTCTGTGTGTGTGCACCGAAAGTTGCAGTCTTCAAGGCCTAAATGCAGCGACACTGAAGGTTCGGGCAATCATAGATGTTCATCTAGCAGAAACGTGTTGATGAATACCTGTGAATACCACTTGATGTGGCCTTTTGTTCAACAAAGGTCCCCTTTCTCGGTGAAAGCCACCAAAAAACCTGCGGCTCTCCCGAAAGCCACTCCAAGCGTCTCATAGTCACCAGGGTCGCGAGAGTCATCAGCCCTGCCGTCTCATCGGTCCACCAGGTTTAGGACGCTACTGGGAGCAGAGGGCATCGCTACTAGGAGCAAGAAGCTACTAGTAGCTCCTGGTATTACTACTAGTAACAAGAAGCTGCTAGTAACAAGGACGCATTAGGTGGAAGGCCATCGCAAGTAGGTTGGAGGCCATCGCTACTAATTAGTAACAAGGGGGCCCTCCGCCTAATAGCGCCTAAATCAGTCCACCAGGTTGGCTCCTTTGAACGTCCTTCAAAGGTCCCTCCCTTTGGCCGTTCAGCCCGTTTGGGTCAGAGCATGAGGGGAGAGAAAGAACTGAGATCGAACAAACCCGATGTGCTATTGGGGGGCACTGGGGTCCTAGATCAAGGACCTTTCGAGATCAATCAGTGGGTCCACAGGCTTCATAATATGAGGCGAAGAGAAAAAAATACATCTTGAAAAAATAACGGTGATTAGCCACTCAGGGCCAATCACAACGTAAGAATTTTCTGGCTTGGTGTGAAGCCAGTCAAAAGGGTCCAAACTTCGAGGGTTCGTCAAGTTGTCGAGATATTCCTGTGAAGGATGAAGTCTCCACATGATATTTATGTTACATTCACAATCATACACATACTGCTTCTGGAGGTTGATAACTCAAACTATACTCTACGGATGTTAAAGCCATGTTCACCCCTTGCTGCCCATGTACCCCCAACAAATCTGTTCTAAGCGCCGGTCCCACGCTTACGGCCTGTAGAGCCCGAAGTCCACCATGCCGCAGAACAGAAAGATCTGGATCCAGCCAGTGAGGGGCACCTGCAAAACGGCTTTTCTTTCGGCGCGCGGCGAAAAGAACAGCACGAGTTCACCAGGGTTAGTGGCACGAGGACACCAAACATTGCACATATTAAACAACATCAATGCATTTGCAGAAAACACATTCCCGGAGTGCCCCCCCCTCTATGCCCCCCCAAGGTGTCGTGCCCTGTATGTCTTAGTCTTACGTCTTTTCGTGAAGATTCTCTTCCCACACGTCAGTGCGGCCGCCCCGGTTCCGCCTTCGAAACGCCTTCCCCACCGGTTCCGCCTTGCCCAGGGCCGCCAAGCCGTTGGGCACATCGGCGAACTTGATGCTCTTCGCAGGCCTCGGGGGGTTGGGCTTCAGAACAAGAGTCACGGAGTCGAGAGCCGAAGGGTGGAAGGATGGGGGGAGAAATGCCTCTTTTGGAGAGAAATTCCACCAGGTGAAGTCACTTTGACCTAATCTTGCGATTCAAGCTATTCAAGCTAATGTTCATCAAAGCCTTCGAAAACTGCTGAGGTTGAAAGATTTTGGTGTGAGGGAGTGTGCCACTCCCTATGCCTCCGAAATATCAAACGCAAAGGCCACGGCCTTTGACCCTCCCACTATTCCTAGAATTGTTTTTCCGTGACGTGCTGACTATTGACCAGCTCAAGCCTTCTAAGTGGCTCTGGATGAAAGTCAAAGGCACTGCAAAACTACTGGGATTGCTTTTTTCGACATCCTCTGCATTCCTTCATCCCGGAGTGCGGCGCAGCTCTGGGAGCCCGGGACGAGAGGTAGCCAGAGAAGCGGAAGTACTCCGGAGTGATGACTGGGCCATGCAGGGTCCGAGTTCCACATCTTAAATTCTTATATAAATTGTTTGGCACTGATACAGCCTTAGCAATTATCGAAAAGAATGCCTTGCAACATCTTGCAACTCCTGTTAAAAAGAAAACCTCATTATTCCTCCTAACTCCTAATTGTTCATGTTGTTTTCCAACCCCCGTGATAGAAAAAAAGGGAAGAACAAACACCCACCGCCTAGACCGCTGCTGGGCTCCCCCACATCCCATGGTCGCGAACATGGCCACGCGGCCGTTCTTCAGCTCCGCCTCGCGGCGGCGGCGGAAGGTCTTCACGTCGCCGTCCTTGGACATGCCCATCGGGTCCCAGTAGCCCACGGGCGCCTGGTTCAGTCAGCTGTGCGTGCATGGGCTGCGGCAGCCAATTGGAAAGGCCAGCAGGGGAGAAGAGGTGATCCCTTTTCAGCAGGCATCCAAACGCGGGCAGAATGAAAATCTGATGGCTGTCAAAGGGAGTGTGTATTCACAAGATCCTTGGATTGCCCCTGTTGTGGAGGACCCCGACTTAAAAGCTCCTCGGGCATTAGTCGTATGTAACGACATCATATTTCCAGCCGCCAAATCCTGTCCTGTCGTCCACTTTTTGACTCAACTGCTGGCGCAACTGCTGCTGTTCCGCCTGCAGCCGCAACAAGTGCTCTTGGTGCAGCCGCAACCGCTCCTGCGCCGCGATCCTCTGCGCCTCCGCAGGACCGGGATCCGCCTCCACGTCCGCCGGGTCCGCCTCGTCCGGGTCCGCCAGGTCTGTCAGCACCGCCTGCAAACGGAGCGTCTCATGGCCCAACTCCTGCCGCCGCGCGCGCAACTCCGCGAGCTGCCGCGACAGGAGGTGGTGCTGATCCACTTGGCTGGTCATCTCCTGACACCAAGCTGCTTCAAATGTCACTGAGGAACAAACGGAAAAACAGGCACCGTTGAAAGAACATGGATTCCAAGAAGTCTCCAACAACGTGCTGACTCTCAACCAACCAACCAACCAACCAACCAACCAACTGGCAATCCATCTCCCCTCCCTCCTGCTGCAGCGTGTGGGCTGCTTGCTGTAGCGCCTGCTCCTTGGCATCTTCTTCCGCCCGCGCTTTCTCAAGCTCCTCCAGCTGCGCTTGCAGCGCCGCTCTGCGGGAGTTCTCGCCACCCCGAAGCGGATCAGCTGCAGATGGCGAGTCCACGCTGCAAAGCTCTCGCCCCTTCCAATCGCTGCTGTAGCCGAAGGCTTGGTGGTTCAAAAGCGCCTCAAGGCGTTCCACTGATACGGTGCCCGCAGCATGCCCTGGGTGTAGGCCCCCCGGCAGCAGCCTCAGCCGTTGCCGCCGCCGGAAGTTCTCCAGCAATGCACGGCCTTCCACGATATCCCCCATCGCTGGGAGAGCACAAGTGAACTAACTCCGTCCTTGCTCCTAGTAGTAAGGCCAGGAGCCCCTAGTAGCGCCCTTGCTCCTAGTAGCGATGCCCTTTGTTCCTAGTAGCGTCCTTGCTCCTAGTAGTGAACTAACAACCTCCGTTTCCAAAGAAAAGATGTGGTGTTGGCCTTCATTTTTAGACCACTTTTCTCATCCACCGGTGGGATGAAGGGGGTCTCTGCTTCTGTTTGAACACGTCCACGCCCATGTTGTTGTGAGAGTTTGAGCCCTAAAGACTAAAGACATCACATAATTAGCACTAATTGCATCTAGTTACGATGTCTTTTTTCTCTGCGGATCGTTTCTCTTTGTCAGGATTCTGCGTCGATTGATTTATAATGTAAAAATGATGGGTATCAGTATGTACTAGTTGCACACATGTTCTGATTCCATTTCAGCTGCCGATGGAAGCATGCCATTCGAGCCGAGATGGGGAGTGTCCTGCCAAAATGAAAGCGCAAAAATGTATAACGATGTCGTGCCGTTGACCATGTATCTTCTAATAAACTCTATTTTAATCAAAAAGGACTGGTGCATCGAATACTACAACACAAGAGTACATGGAAGCTTGCTTGCTAGTGCTGACGCCTGTCGTGGGATGACACAGGTGAGTTTAATGGGTCTCACTTCAAGAATGTTTTGTGGGTATTATCTATTCTTTTATGACAAGGGCATGTGACTTGTTACGCAAACGTAAAATCTCAGAATCGCAGACCATGGTCGTCCACCCCAAGTCGTCCACCGAGCTCATTCGGCCCCCCCAACCTGAACACCGAGCTCATTCTCAAAGGCCCGCAAAGGCGAATCGGTGTAGCTGGCCCAGTCGCCCCAAGCACTGCCCGTCAGGCCATCCTGGCCGTGATGATCTTGAACACAGTGCAGGAGATGAATGGTGGATGTGAATTTCATGGAACTTCCACAATCGTTTCACTAAAAAAAGTAAACAGCACGCACAAGCATGGAATCTTGCTCTTGTTGGGACCTGCTGACTTATGAGTGGATCGTGGAATCATCTACCAAGCTTGCATGATCTTTCACACCACTATAGACCTGCTATCCAAAGAGACCCTTTTCTCCATCGGGGCTGTGTTTCGGATATATGGTTGGTCACGACAATATCAAAATAGAAATAGGTTTTTCATGTTTTTCCCTCAACAGTCAGGGCTGCAGGTGTTTTGTTCCCCCTGATTGGTGTTGTCTGCTCCCTGTCTTTTCTTCCCTGGAAGGTGTTTCTGTTCCCGGCTGATGTTCTTCATTTCCTTGGTTGGGAATGGGTTTAGGGTTTGCAGCGGTTTGCATGATGACAGGACTGAAGCCTGGCCTGTAGACGCCCCGATTCGAGCTTTCAGGTGCGACGTTCGGCACTGCTCCCCATCTGACACTGCGTCAAAACCACCCGTTCTTCGTAGCAAACCAACTGCGCGTAACCATAACCGTAAACATCACCACATCGCTTAATAGCTATCATGATTGTTAATGAGACAAACCATTCTGGGCTGGTTCTTGCGTCACAAATCATGGCACTTGAAGGGCATTAAGATCATTAAGACTTCCAAGAAATGTAGGAAGGAAAGGCGACAGCTTAAACTATATAAATATATCGATTCAAGTCGAGTTCTCCCCCAGAAACTGAGCCCTGCTCATCTCTGAGCTTGCTCTTTCGATGACATGTGCTGCAACTGTTTGTTGATTCAGCTTGGCCCAAGCTCCAAGCTACTCTGACCCCAACAAAAATGGCCCAAGCTCCGTCACTGAACCATCGCTCTCTTAGTGCCCCAAAATAGGAAGAAGCCAAAAAAGACGCTGCCACGACACGCGCCCAAACCACGACACACTCACACGCCTGGAAGAACATTCCGATGATGGCCATCATAGCCTTGAGTTTCCATCCACTGTCGGATTTTCAGGGCGCCCGCGCCGCCCGCAGGGCTATTTCTAGCAATTTCTTAAGGCACGCTCGAGCACATCTAAGTCTATCCAACCTCTCATGTGCAACAAATGTGAGAACACAGTTCGCCCCCCAAAAACAAAACACTGGCCTCTTACTGTTTCTTACACATTGACTGTTTGAACCCTTAACCGGGCACACCCAAAGACTTGAGAGAGGAGGGGGGTGAACGAAAGGTAGCAGGGAATCAGGCGTAATCCGGGAGGAGGTGAGAGGCCCCCCACTTGTTTGAAGAGAAGTGAGTGAGCGTGATGAAAGAAAGACTAGTGCACAAACGCTTGACAAAACCTCCAGAAGCTGTAGCGGTCTAGCAGTTTCAATACAGGTTGACGTGCCTTCAAAAGGAGTCACCTATTTCTCAAATGCAACTTCGGATTTACATAGTGACGTGCGGCGACCCTGTAAATTGCGTGGCCGCAGGCCATGCTTGCAAACAGGACGTGCTCAAAAACACTGGTATTTACGAGGTTTCGTTGCCGTCGATCCACAGCCGCGGCAAGGTCTAAGGCCACGCTTGAAGACAGGAGGAGCTGAAAACACTGGTATTTACGGTATTTTGTAGCCGTCGATCCAAAGGCGCACCACGGTTGAGCGCTGGAAAAGCGCAGAAAACCGTGTAAATACCGGCGTTTTCTGCCGGGAAGGTGCACAAAACCCTGTAAATACCATAGTTTTGTGCAATTTTGAAGCCTCCAAAAGCCTCAAAAACCCTTTCTGACAAAATCTTTCCTGGCTTTTGGTCTTTTTTCGGTCATTTTTCTAACCGAGACGCATCAAAAACCATCGGTTTTTGCGGTGTTTTTTGCCGGACAGCCACAAAAAACGCTGTAAATTCAATGATTTTTGGTCACTGCTGAGGACTGGAAGAGCTGAAAACACTGATATTTACAGTGTTTTCGAACGGTTGACCCCGAGGCGCGCTAGGGTGGAGTTGAAAGGGGGGGGGGGGAAGGGGGCCCCCCCCCCCCCGCCGGGAAACGAAGATGTCGGGGACCATTTCTCCGAGAGATAGGCTGCAGCTCTGGGTTAATACATTTTTGCTAAAGCAAAAGGAAAACTCAGGTAGCGTAACCGCTACCTTTCGTGATCTGCCAATGGCTCAATGTCCCAATGTTCCAAAGATGTGTCGATTTGCAATCAATTGAAATCGGATGCTGTTGGCTGCCAATGAGAAATCGTGTTAGTCATTCTTCCGCTCTAGTCTGCCCAACGTCAGTTGCTTTGCTTGGGTACCCAGTGTTCTGAAACCACCTCCTGCTACAGTATTGAACTGTTAAGCCTCACACCACCCGGGTCCAGATTTTGCATCACACACGAATATCCGCCGCACATGTTGGCCAAAGAAGCCAAGCGCCCGTTGGCCAACTCTGAGTTCAGCTTGCGGGTGCGGCCATCGCCGGGCGCCATGGTGCTGCCATTGGGCACGCCCAGAACGCCTGGAGAGTAGCGGAACGCCCAGAACGCCCTACTCGGAAGGAAGAACCGGGGTAAGGAATGAGGAGAACGGTGCAGAGAAGAAGTACCCAAACCCTCCAACAATCATGGAAGTGGATGGCATGGCCCATGGAAAGACAATCTTGCTCTGCAAACAGGGCATTGTCCACTTCACTTTCATGTTTGTTGCAGGAAGCCCCAAAAAAGGCCATGGATGAGCCAGTGCGGGCAACATGCCTGCATTCTTGTAGTCGCCAGGCGCGCGGGTGGGGTCATAGGTGAAGAGGCCCTTCTCGATGAGGCCCAAGAAGAGGAAGATCTGAGTCCATCCAGCAGCAGGCACCTCGGCTCTAGGAAAATCTCTGAAGTGCCGGCACATTCCAAATGTCTAGCACAGATCAGAATAATGAGCTTTGTGTGCTTTAATCTGTGGTAGTGACCTTTTGCAGTGGGAAGGCATAGAAGGGACTCTTTCAATCATCTAAATCACTAAAAAGTCTGTCTTGCCCATCAAGCATTCCAACCACCCGGGCATGGCATGTTCTCATGTCGTGTCTCATGCAGGTTCGGTTCCGAATGACCAAAAGCAGGAAAGTCATGCAGGTTGGGCAGGAGCCCAGTGCCTCAAGAGGACAAAGAAGACACTGATGATTTGAGTGTTCTCGTTGCTGTAGATGACTGACACAATCAGCGCCAAGCAACCTTGCCCAGGGCAGCCAAACCGTTAGGGATCTCGGAGAACTTCAGGCCGGCTGTCGGAGAGCAGTATCCTCTCGATCGGGATCTCACTCGAGTTTGGAGCAGCTTCGACTGTTGAAGGAAGAATTCCGTCTGCGAAAGGTTGGTAGAAAGGATGAGAACCCAACTCAAAAAGATTATGCTACTGTGGAAACATGTGCCACATGCTGCATTTCTGGGCCCAACAGCATTCACCCAGGAGGCACCGGTCTCAACTTGTAAAGCTCCCAGAATTGCTAGCTTTCTCTCAGCGGCACTCCTTGTAACTTTTTTGAAACACGGGCAAAAACACATAAACACGTTCAAGTTGCCCCCACCAGCACTGGATTCATTGAAGTCAACAGAGGGGTCTTTCTTCCATGTCCCTCCCAACAACTGTCATCCAAGTTCGAATCAGCTCAAGTTTCAAATCCAACAGGCCCTGATCGGATGCAAGGGCCCGGAAAGAGTCCGACACAAGACACGTACAACGTCACCGACCATTCTCCATTCAAGACCAGACCTATCAGCTTTCTCTTTCGAAAGCCAACTGGACTCGTTCGAAGATGCCTGGAAAGCGGACGTATTCAGGGGTGATGTAGCCCATGGCAGCCAGCATTGCCACACGGCCTTGAAGTGAAGATGGAGGACCAGCAGGTGGGCGAAGGACAACAATTGAAATACCCGGTACAAGTTGGTTGATGTGTTTACAAGAAGAAAGGGCAAGAAAACAAACGACATGCTTCGGCTTCAGCTTCTCAGAACTCTAAAGTAGAACTTTGAAGCTGCCCCTTTTAAGTCAGAACGGGTCAGGAGAACCGCTGAGATCTTCTCATAGAAAAAAGTGGAAGAAAAAAACAATTGCAAAACGCGACGCTTGAAGTTGGCAACAGCTAAAAACATCCAGAACATTAACTCGGGTTTTCCCCGTTGGAGCTCGTCCGGCCTTCAACAACCATGTGAGATACGGTTCAAATTTGATCGTGCGGCTGAAGCGGCGGAAGGTCATCCGAATTTGGTGGCGTGTGTTATCATTATTCAAGCTGAAAAATGCACTGCGAGATCCCACAACCACTCGCTGAGTACTTGTCACTTTCATTGTCTTGGACTCATATCCATTGGAAAAATCGTGAGTAGAAATTCCCTTCGTTCCACTCTTTAGATGAGGTCTTTTAGGGGTAAAATCACGCCATCTACTCTCCCTAAAAAAAGGACGTCTGCAGAACATCTGCACATCCAAGCTCCAAACTGAAAACGTCACTGACCGCCCTCCGCACGCTCCGCACCAGCTCACCGGACATCGAGGCGCCGTTCTTCAGCTCGGTCGCGCGGCGGCGCTTGAAGGCCTCCACATCGCCGTCCTGGAGTGGAAGGGCATCGCTGCGAACGAAGCAAGGACGAACATGGGAAACGAACAGAACCCGAATTCCATCTCAGAAGGGTGATGAAAGATTCAGGACCTCCCCCTGCATTTCCATCCACGTAATGAACCATCAAATTGTTCGGTGTTGACCGTTTTGAGAAATTGAAGAAATAACCGGCCAAAGAAGCATCACGACTGAAAAGGACATGGGTTTGGGGTGTTTTCTGCTTCAAGGACAATACGTCTCTTGGGGTTGTTTCACCCATGAGTATACCTTCCAAACAACATCTTCAGAAATTCCTACCAATTGGACTCACAAATCGATACAAATCGGATATGATGAAAACGCAACGCATCCCGCCCCATCGGTGGAGCCTTGGTAAGGCCAAAGGGATCAAAGAAGCCGAGCGGTGCCTGACACCAGCGTGGGAGGGACCCCGTCCGGTCGTTGAAGATGTTTGAAGAGACTTCACCCACTACGGTTTGAAGACCACCTGTCCCCGGGACCTACCTTTCATGCTATTGTCATGGAATTTGTTGTTTACGGTTGGTTTGGATTAAAACCAAAATATGACTGTTGGTGTGTGTAAATAGTTTTAGGATACCAGTTGGTCATCTGCAAACTAAAACATCTTTAACATCAAGCTAAGTTATCAAAATACAAATAGGAAATCTCTATGCGCAGTGCGGTATGCTCCCCACGTGCATTTGTTCTATTCCTTGTCTATGAGTTTTCTTCTTGCAGGCTGCCAAATCCAAAACCCAAAACCATTATAAGACCGGACAACCCCACATGTTATTCCCCAGATAGCGACAGCTATGGGGCTTTTACTTCAAACAACATCAAACAACAATGAGCTGGCTGTGAGACAGGATGTCGGTGTGGGGTGCTGGCTGTGGTGCTGGTGCTGGGTGCTGTGGTGCCAGTGCCGGGCGCTGGTGCTGTGAGCTGGCTGTGCACGTGCTGGGTGCTTACTGGGTGCCGGGTGCTGAATGCCGGTGCTGGGTGCTGTGAGCTGGCTGTGCGTGTGGTGGAAACAGGGTGCCGGTGTTGGGTGCTGGCTGTGCGCGTGGTGGAGACAGCGTGCCGGTGCCGGGTGCTGGTGCTGGCTGCGCTGGTAGTGGAGACACACCACGCTGTACTGCGGTTTTTCCAATGTACACGGGGCGCAGTCCAGAAAAATCTTTGGCATGTTTTTGCTATCTGGAATCTATGCTGGTGTAATTTTTCTTTAACGATCACTAGATTACAGTAATGTTCTTTACTTTAACCGTATGACATGGAAACGAAAGGAAATCGCAAACAGAAATTGTTTGTTGATATATCTGGAAGAGCGACATGAAGTCTAAAAGATAGAACGCTGAAGCGGCGAGCGTCTGGAAGATAAACTTACAGACAGAGGTTGTTGCCCACATGTTCCCCATATCCTCAGTAACCCCGCCCGTTCCCAGCCATGCGTTCAGGCGGGGTCGTCTATACAACGAGGAAGTAGTAGAAGAGCAACACAAAAACGTGTGGAACACACAAAACTTCAGCAGACTGTGAAACTGCGTGGGGGGGGGGAAACAAACGAGAGAAGAAGAAGTCCGCCGACACAACCGGGGCAGGTCAGACTGGGATCTGCATGACGGTCAGCACGTCAACGCAACCGAAAAAACCACACCCACCAAGCACCGAAAGACGCAGGGCCCAGCAGGCACAGCAGGGCAAAGCGCCCACAGAGGGCACAACAGCACCAAAGGGCGAGAGCCCGACGAGACCGGAACTCACTGGCGTGGACGTCCCGCGCCCGGACGAGACCAGCGCGCACTGGTTGTGAGAAAGAGACCACAGAGCCCATCATGCAGGATACAGGTAGTCATGCCCAAGTCGCCGGCAAGAAAAGAGCGCTGTGAAGCCAAGTGGCAGCCCTCGCGCCAGCGGGCCCCACGACCATCGCCGGGCGGCGCCGGAGATGCACTTCATTTGGGCGACAAACGGCCAACCTTCAACTTTTTTTTCCCTTGCCCTTAGGCGGAAGGTTTGCCACCTCACAAACTCGTTGAACATATTTCGAGGGGCGTGGAACGCCCATCTTAAAGCCCAGGTCTGGCCAAGCGCCATCACCATTTCGGGAAAACACACCAGCCAGAGCCAGAGATCCCCGTAGCTCGCGGCCGGCGGCGCTGGCTGTAAACGAAAAGACCAGAACCCAGCTCCGGGCGTCACCTGGCGGGCGAAGCGAGTTGCCCAAGCTCCCGACGCAATAGTCCGATGAAATCAGAGGTCTTTGCGACTTCTGCAGCAACGGGAAACTTTTCACAGGCCAAGACCAACGATCGAACCAGCACTTTGTAGAGCCGGACCTTGAGCGGCGGCCCGCGATCTGCTCGGCCGCCCGAATTCTCCTGCTTTTCGCCATTGTAGCTCAAGTTGCAGAACAAGGCTCTGCTTGACTTGTCCGGCCGCGAAGAATACAAGCTGGAGTTCCGAGCGCAACCGGGTGGTATCGCGGGCCATAACCAGAGCCAGGTCTTGCACGGCGCCCAACTGGTCTTGGAGCTCTTAACCTTCTTTTCATTTGCTCGGACGTCGTCTTTCAACTTCTTGAACTCACGCTCAGACACAGTGCTGCGGCTACGAGCAGGGGCAGAGAGTGGCAAATACACAAAAAGAAGACCCAGCCGTCAAGACAGCACACTCAACTACACTAGTCTTCGGGTGTGTAGACAGCAATAGGCCTTGTAGCCACTTGCCCTGACGTCGTCCCACTGGTCGGAGAACGCCCGTTTGGCCCAACCGTTGAACGTGAGCCTGCGCGACCATGTCCATGATCTTAGGCGCTCCAAGCCACGCGCCTGAGCCTCGGTTACGCAAGCGTCCCAGCTCCTGGTCCCAGCGCGTGACAGAGGAAATGCCCGATAGACGCGGCCTTTGGTACTTCCCACACACACACACACACACACTAGACGCCAAGCGCCAGAAGGCCTTGCGAGCGGGTTCCAAGCGTCGGCGAATCTCCGCATCACAGCTACCATCGGGGTAATAACGGTGCGTGTACTTGACTTGGCCAAACCATCCTGCGCGAAAGGGCATGGCAATGTCAGGTGTATCCGGCAGCGCTGGCCAAGTCCAACAGACAGGACCAAGCCCCACCGGTCATAGTGTCGTTGGAGATCACGAGCCCATGTTGCGAGCTTATCTACGGTATCAGCCACGAACGCCGCATCATCGGCATAGCCCAATTCATGGAGCGTAAGATGGTCCTACGTCGTATATTTCGCTAAGGTGCCGGGATCCAGGTGAAGACGCAGGATGCCATCTATGCGGCAGGGCCAATCCAGACGACCATCAACCATGCACCCGTTGCCACTCACCGCGGCCAAGAAGATATTGAACAGCGTCGGCGCCACGCAGCACCCTTGGCCCAGTCCTGTGTTGAGGGCGATACTACGTGACAGCACACCTTCACGGGCCTCTCTACCAATGTGGAATTCGCGCACGAGCGCAATGAATTGAGCAGGAACGCCTTTAGTCGCCAGAATGGTCCATATACGCCGCCCCGACTGACGGAGTCATAAGATTTGGCAAGATCCACAAACAGAAGGCGCAACGGGTGCGATTTAATCCGGGCGACATCCATGGCCACGCGTAGCGTAAAAAGCATATCGGAAGTCCCTCTCCCAGCCCGGTCGCGCAAAAGCCCAACGTCTTCGCAGTACGCCTGGAGACGGCCGTTCAAGATACTAGGAACCGAGGAGAGCAGGATACCCCGCCACCGTGCGCATTTGGCAAGATCGCCGGTTTTGGGGAGGGGAACTAGGAAATTAGCCTTCCAGTCGACCGGCATCGGCTCAAGGCCGTTCCATATTCGGCAAACAAACTGTATACAAGAGTCGCACATTAACGATCGACAAGTGTTGAATAAGCTCCGGTTGGACACCGTCAGGTCCATGTGCTTTCCACCCTTTAACTGGGAAATGGCCGCAAGCATGTCCTCTAAGGTTGGGGTCGCATCCAATGACTGGCGCATGGGCAGGAGTTTGAGCTGGAGACCAGCCAGCCACTCGGCATGCGCAGACTTTTCTACGTTTAGCACAGTCGTAAAATGCTCTTCCCACTGACGGAGCCGCTGATCCCGGGTTAGCAGAAAGTCCCCGTCCGCGTCTGCGTTACGAAGCTTTGCACCAGGCTGACGACCGGATACAAAAACTCTCCGTAACCTGCGAACTGATGGTTGGGAGATTTAGTATCGACGTCAAGTTGAATATGTGCCACCTTGGTCGCCCACCATTGGTTGAGTAGACGACGCGCCGCCTTTTTTGTGGAACGCTTGACACTTCTATACTGGGCGGACCTCTGGCGTGCCATTGAAGGCCCTAAAAGCAGCCTGCTTCTGCTGCGACAGCGCCTGCAGCTGCGCTGCATTTTCAACTCGCCACTGCGGACGCGGAATGCTGACAGTACTGCCAGTTTCCCCCGGTTGCCGATGCTGGGTTCAGTGGGGAAATCATAAATATGGCATTTGAGGGGAGCGCCTTTTTCTTTGGCGCCATCCTGCACGCCTGGCTTGTCGTCATTGTATTTGGCGATCGTCTCCAGCACTCTGGCGCGACTGCGGCCTTGTAAGAAGAACACCAATTGGAGGTCAGCGCGGGCCTCCCCTGCATCACTGGCAACGCGCACAGCAACAGCAGCAACGCGTTCAACTTGGGCCTCCAACATTTCATGGCCCTTTTGGAGGCGATCGAACTCTGACCGTCCGATGGCATTGTCTCGCTCGCGATCACGTTCACGCTCACGACCAGGCATGGCAGCAGAACCGGGCACGGACAGGCAAGACTACTGCATCATCAACGCCGCGGTTACGGCGAAAGCCCTGTTGCTCCTCAGCCATAAACTGCTCTGCCCAGTCGGACAAACGAGCGGCGGCAATGCGCGCGATAAGCTTGACAGCGACAGAAAGCATGACCAAATTACGGTAGTTTTTACGGTCGGCGCCGTCACCTTTATTTTTGAAAACCGGAACGCAGATGCCCGCTTTTGACTGCAGGAGACCATGAGTCAGCTTCGTGGCCCTGTTCAGCGCGTCGGACCACATCTGGAGGAGAGTCTTGAAGACTCCTTGCTGAAGCTGTGATCCACCATACCGAATCAATTCCACTGTGACGTTATCGCATCCCCCTCTTTCCCATTGCGCATACCAGCGAGGGCGTCGTGAAATTCAGACCAACAAGGGGGTGTAGCCAAGCCCAGATCCGGCGAGGCGGCAGAGGGTACAACTGCCAAACAGAAGGGTCAACTTCACCCGCACCAGTCTGGATACCAGCCAGGAATGAGCGCCAGGCTTCCCGATCCAACTCCGGGTCGTGAGAGGTGCTCGAGGAGGACGGTCAGAGTTGATGTTGCGTTAATGATGATGTGGTGAGAATTGAGAATGATGTGGTGAGACTTGAATTGGTGAGAGGTGATGGTGAGGGGCGATGTGGTGAGAGGTGATGTGGTGAGAGGTGACGTGGTGAGAGTTGCTGGTGAAAGTGATGTGCTGAGAGTTGATGCGGTGAGAGTGAGAGTGAGTGAGTGTGATGACTGTGAATGTGAGTGAGAGTGAGTGTGAGTGAGAGTGAGTGTGAGCGTGAGTGTGTGTGAGTGGGAGCGAGAGTGAGCATCTGAGAGCACAAAGCGCTTCGCCTGCCACGAAATCTGCACTTCGAGGTTCAGTGCTGTGCCTGCCACGAAATCTGCGGTTCGAGGTTCACCAAGTGCTGCGCCTGCCACGAAATCTGCACTTCGAGGTTCACAAGCGCTGTGCCTGCCACGAAATCTGCACTTCGAGGTTCACAAAGTGCTGTGCCTGCCACGAAATCTGCACTTCGAGGTTCACAAAGTACTGCGCGTGTCACGGAATCTGCACTTCAAGGTTCACCAAGTTCTGCGCCTGCCACGAAATCTGCACTTCGAGGTTCACAAAGTGCTGCGCCTGCCACGAAATCTGCAAACGAGCCACATCTCCAGAAGTCACGATTCACTGCACCTGTCACGAAATTCAGAGCTCGTCGAAGATCACCACCATATCCAAAGTGCTGCGCTTGCCACGAAATCTGCATTTCCAAGTAAAGCCGCTCCGATCCCTTGCACCTGTCACGAAAAGTCGACTTTAGACCACCAAAACACGAAGTTTCCCTTGCACCCGCCACGAAAAGTAACCACCATGTCCGAAAATGCGCACGGCACCACAACGAGAGCGCAGTCGTTAGAAGCACCCGCCGCGCACACCCAGATTTCGCGAGCCTGCGCAATCGAAAATGCATGTCGACGATTTCGAGAGGCATGAATGTACTGTAAATAGCAGCGAATTAGCCGGACACGCCCGCGCGGCACAGCGATCTAAGCACAGCTTCTTAACTACTACCGTGCCGTGAGAACCCCTAAGTGTGTCCACACTGTTTGGGGAACAAGAACCCCACACAATGATGTGAAAAAGAAACAAAATTGGGATTTTTGGTGTCCATTGTGTTTGACCTTCTGGAAAAAAAAAGTGATGCAATCACCAACTCCCAAAAGCCAAACGATATAAGTGCTTTTGGTGTTGCTTCAAACTTGCAAAGACCAAATCAAAATGAAGGAAACCACAAAAAGAAACGAAAAAAACAAAAGTTCAATGACAATATTAAAACATCGTTCAAGCCAAAACCAAAGATTACCCACAGGAATTTGTTGTGTTTTTTGGTGTTGTTTCTGGTTTTGGTTCTAAGTTCAACCTATTATTGTTGCATATGTACACAAATAACTTTAACGACTAATGACAGCAGTTGTTTTTATGTCTGTGTGTTCAGGTTTGCGTGGGTCAAGTAGAACTAGCATTGGTCTTTTCCATGAATCCAGTGGCTGCAAGAATGCTTTGTCATTCAATCTTTTGGAATGACGTTCTGATATTCTTTTGGTTCAAACCTTTGCACATGGGTGTCACTGGATGGGTTGCAAGAGCACTGGAAAGCCTTTTTGACAGACCTCAATCCAGAAGATCCTCGAAGTGCTGTGCTCAAGTGCATGGGTTTCCAGAAGCGTGTTTCATGGGATGCCCAGCCAGCTGCAGGACGAATTTTATGTCAAGATGGCAAGCTGGAAGGCCGGGTCCTGCGTCTAACCATTGTGTGAGGACGAAGTTGGGCGATGCTGGAAGTAACGGCAGAACAGACATGGACAGGAAGTCTCCAGCGCCATGGATGTCTTTCTGTGCTGAGGCCGGAGGGAAGCTCAGCAGAAAGAGAAAGGGTTGCGCAGAGGTCAATTCTATGCAACTCAACATTAGTATTTGACTAAACTCATAATTTTTGTTGTGGATTGGACATTTGATTCTAATACCTGATTGTCCATAGTTTTCGCTGATTGGCAGAATTCATCGTGGATTCACCACCACCTGGCGAAAGGGGACCACATCTTACTTGGAAAAGAAGGAACTGCCAGGTTCAGTGGGATTTGTGGTGCTTCAACAGCTTCAACACATGAAAAAACTCTTCCGAATGAGGCGTTGGACCACTTTCGTCGGTGAACCTGGGCTCAATGGACATGGAACAATCATCCTCTATCCGTTTCTCACCGTTCTATGGCTCAATGGGCATGAGCCACCAATCAGATCGCAAAGACTGAGGTCCGAAAATCTCTTCCCACTTCGGTTTCTCTCCTTATCGGTGTCTGCTCCCGGCATCAACGTCCAAACCCAAATGCCGCATAGTTCAACATGATCATTTCTTTCGCTTCGATTTCCTCCTTCGCTCCACAGAATTGTTCAAACCTTTGGAACCGGATTTGGAGCTTCAGTTTCGCCACATGAAGGGGCGGAACTGGGATTGAACGAACGAAGGCACGCCCGATCAACAGGTCCTGTCAAGACAACTACCATCAAAGCCCAAACCATGAGAAATCTTCATGAAAGAGTAAGGAGTTGTCGCTCGAAAGCAATTAAGGATTTGAAATGTCTACATAGGCTTCATGACGAGTGCAAGGCCCAAACCATCTTTGATTAACAAGAATTAAAAAAAATCTGAGGTGGTGCTACTTTGACCTCCTTTCTCTAAATGTCTATTCTCTCCGGTGCCCTTATGTATTTCTTCAAAGCAAGCATCAAAACGCAGTGCCTGCACACCAAGCTCGTTCTCGAATGCACGCAAAGGCGAAGCG